CCCCCAAGTCCTTCTCAGCAGGGCTGTTTTCGATCCTTTCATCGCCCAGCCTGGATTGATACCTGCGGTGTCCCTGACCCAGGTGCAGGACCCTGCACTTGGCCTTGTTGAACCTCATGACGTTCACACGGGCCCACTTCTTAAGCTTGTCCAGGTTACCCTGGATGGCATCCCGTCCCTCAGGCGTGTCAGCCGCACTGCTCAGCTTGGTTCATACAGGAACAACTCATGTATTTTTTAACTGCGTTCTTTTTTCCATCAGATCTTGTTTCTTTTTGGAGGTTGAAGTGTGAAGCTCAGTGCTTGGTTCACCTTTTGTAGAACTGATGCATAAATTTTTGTTCCTAGTCTGTTTCAATAAATGTTATCTATTTTGGTATGCAGGTGGCTCTTCATGTAGTATGATTGGTTTTGAGAATCTGCTTAGTAGAGGAAGTAAACATATTTTAATCTGAAGATTAAATGGTGACAGACTATAAAAACAAGTGAACAACCAGCAGTACTCCCTACCCCTCCCAGATAAACTTGATAATTTTTTCCTGGCTTGGAAAGGAGCAAATTATTTCATTGCAAGTCGTCCTGTTCACATGGGTAAAGTTTTGACCAGGGAGTTGTATTACAGCACCTTTTCTCTTTGATCTGTGTTTCTGGTTTCTAAACTGAAAGATGTTGTGGTTTTTCTGAGCAGTAGAAGCATGGTCTCTCAAAAAGATTGATGAACTTTTCCACCTGAAGTTGATATATTGTTCCAATGTCCATTCACATCTCTGCACTCTCCATGTAGTGCCAGCTGCTGTATATTGCTCAGAAAGTTGGGCATGATATACTGATATAATGCCTGTTTAAGGGAAAATATCTTAGTTTATCTTTAAACACTATCACTTTGGTGTTTAGCCCAAAGCTGTGTTGTAACTGCATATACATTATAACACTTGAATACTGTAACGTCTCAATATATACACTTTCTAACCACAAAACTGCTCTATTACTGGGTCTTGCTGATATTACAAAAAAAAGGAATATGCCAGGTAAGCCAGTAGAAGAAAGAGAGAACTTCTGTTTTTTCAGTGAGTAATGTTGTGTAGCTCGATTTTATAACCTCAAAGGCTGAATCATTTTTGTCTTTATTTGCAGTGAAGCGCGTTTAGATTCGTGAAATGCCATACGTCAATTGTACTTAAATATTTTGAAGTTAATAGATAGAGCATGAATTTCTAATAAACTTCAGTGCACTTTGTTTAACCATTTCCTACTCCGAAGCTTCCGCCCTGCAGAGAGCCTCAAGAACACATACCCCTGCAAGAACAACTAGACAAAGATTTCAAACCTTTGTCATCATAAAGTTTGATTCTAGAATCATCATAAAGTTTGATTCTAGAATTAAAGTCTCAACTTTCCCTGCAGTTTTGAAAACACTCTATAGCTGTCTCTTTTAGTGTTTTAGGGGAAATACTACTAGAGGTGGTAAAATGGCAGCCAAAGTACCTGGTTTGCTTTGTGCCTTATACAACAACACACATGGAGAAACTTTTTGACAGAGATGTCTATATAATTTGAAGCTATAGCATTGTACTCTTTGGCCATTAGTTATGAATCAGTCTAGTTTCCTAAAGTAATATCCAAGACTGGTTACTGTTTGAGGAGCGAATAGTGCCAGAGAATAACGAAGATGGATTTGTTGCAAACAGATTTTATAATAAGTTGTTTTTGGAATTCTTGACCCTCTTGATCATTTGCCTCAAACATTTTTGTGTTTTTTCTAGAATGATATTTTATATAAGATAGTGCATTATAAATTTATTTTGTAGGCTACCTTAAGAATTAATAAGACTTCTGCTCTTGCATCACTTAAGGGTCTCCCTCAGTCGTAATAGAACAAGATTTCCATGATTTATCCAGCATCCTTGTCTTTATATTTGTACAGACTTCCTCCTTTTCCTTTCATCTTTGCTTTTCCCAGTTTTGTTGATACAACATCCATACAGAGACTACAGTAGCTGCTCACATTCCAAGTAATTAAACGTAAAGGGAGGGACTCCTAACAAGTTTGATGCATTAAGTGCTATTTTTTGTTTGCTGTAGTCTTGTAGTTTTTCCTTTAGCTTGTGGTGTGTTACACTCTGAAGCAGATGATGTTTCTCCAGTGCAGGAGAAACCCTTGCCAAGGCAAACCTTGCTGAACCTTGAGAAACCGTGATGAGGCAACACTCTTGACTAACTTTCGGCTGCTTTTACAGAGGTTCAGGTTTGTCATTGTACAGTTATGTCGCCACTGAAAAAGTAATAGGAGGAATCAAAGCAGTGTATCGTAGCAGCTTTGTGGGGCAACCACCATACCTTTGCTGGAGCATAGCCTGCATAAACCACAGCTTAATTACATAGGGTAGCATATATAATGCTAGTGTTCATTCCCTAATTTTATGATTATCACTTTGACCTGTTTCAGATAAGAAGACAAGGCGGAATACAATTACTGGTGGACCTATTGGACCATCGGATGACAGAAGTCCACCGTAGTGCCTGTGGAGCTTTGAGAAACTTGGTATATGGGAAGGCAAATGATGACAACAAAATTGCTCTGAAAAACTGTGGTGGCATCCCAGCATTAGTACGGTTACTCCGCAAGACTACAGATTTGGAAATCAGAGAACTGGTCACAGGTTTGACTCTTTCAATACTTTTTGTTTAAACTCTACGTAGGCTCTACAAGCACAGTTCTGTGCTCTGTGCTACTTGCTCCATCAGTAACCGTATTTTATTACCATTATTACCATGTTCTTTTCCGTAACAAAACACTTTCAAGCCCTTTTGGATATATGTGAAGTGTGGATAGCTTTATTCAGTATCACACAGACAGTTTACAGATGTAGGCATGGTTTACGCTTACTTTTGCTGGTCACTTTGTTCTTGGTTAGCCATGAATTTTCTTGCAGGAGATGTGTTCCATACAGAGATACATTGTGGTAGGAATCCTCTGCTCTCCCTCCTGTCTGGTGGAGGGCTGCACATGCAGAAAACGGATTTTACTGAATTTTCTTAGAAGCTGTTACTCAATTCTTTTATATCCTATATAGTGAGAAGGATGATTCCGTTGTTGTTTTTTACTTTTCTTGTGGTTCTGATATGAAAATGGAAAAACATGTTGGAGAGATGGACAGCATCATCCTCTGAAGACTTTTTTCAGAAATTTGCTAGCATGTTATATGATATATGTTAGACGCAGGGTATGCAGGTAGTGGTAGAGTCTATTTCTTTTCTTGATATAGTAGAATTTGATCTTTTTAAGATTGTTTGGACTTTTTCCCTTACAAAATTCAAGATGGATTTTTTTTTTTTTTCCCCAGAAATACAGAAAAGCTGTCAAACAGCCCCAGTCTGAAATGTTTGGAGATTTTCTTCACCTTGGCCCTAAGCTATTCCATTTAAAATGCAAAACAGAAGTTAGAATGTTCTTTTTATTTTTCACTTTGTTATTTCATTCTATTTGATTGCTAACATCAATGTGGAGATTAATTTAATGCTACCAGTAAAGAATCTTAAGATCCTTTGATTATCCTATTTTACAATGCCTGTATTTCCATTGTGATTTTTGTACTAAATTAAGTAAGACATGTTCTCGTTTCTGTCATAGAAGCATCAGAGTACACACTATCATCTATGCTTCTGCAGAAATTACTTACACTTGTTGGTCAGGCCTCATTTAGGATACAATTGAAAAAATTATTGTCCTTTGGTTGACTCCAGGTTCCTTCCTTGAGGGTGTCTGAATAAACTGTGTGGTGTTTATTAAATATAGATTTTTATATTTAATTTTGTTTCTTAGTTACAATACCTGTCATCTTGTACTTGTTAGGCAGAATTAATGGGGCAGAGATACTGGGTTACACAAGCTCGGATGGTGCCTCCCGCAGAGTGACAGAATTACTGACAGATCTAATAAAGTGTAACCACCGCTTCAGATTCAACATACTTGTTTGTCTCTTGGTTATGTTGTCTGTGTCCTGGCTCCAGGGAACATTCTGCCTATTTATTCTGCGTAGTAAGTGGCAAACTGCTAATGAAGATCAGCAGTACACCTCAGCAGTCGCCGTGGCAGTTCCCATGCTCTCTGTAGGCAGAACACATCATGTCATTAGGTCATTTAAACAAAAGGTCCTAGGCTACAGCTTCCATTCCTTCCATTGCACGGTATGTTGTTAAATTTTCCTCAATTTTCACAGAAAGAAGGGGCGGGAGGTGCTAGCATGCCCTCAAACTGTTACTTCCCAAGAGAGTCGGCACTGGCCATCGATGGCAGTAACCAGCCTTTGTACGGGCAGAGGCAGCTCCTGCGGATGGTGAGCCTCAGGAGCGCTGGACATCTGTGAAAGGGGAGCGGAGCGAGATGATGACCCTGAGGGATGGAATCAAAGTCAGTGATAGAGCAGGGTTTTATTCCTGGGCCTGCGTTTGTGTTTTGTTTATTGTTTTTAAGCAACCAGTACGTCCCAGAAGGCCATTGATTGCCCTAGCCTGGTTTTGTGCCTCTCAAAATGCAAATAACTGGTCCGGTGATTTGAAAACGTAACCCTGGTGGTGGTAGTAGTCTGCAAAGCTCCGTTCCAAAGCAATGCTTGTAGCTGCTCCTCTCATCTTGCATCTCTTAGAAAACAGGCTGGAATCGCGCATCTGGATCCGTTCTCGTTTGCTTTCTTTGTAAAGCGTTGTAGTGTGACAGCTGCCCCAGTTGCATTCCTTCCCTCTGTCCTTTCTGGGGAAGGAAAGATAGCAGCAGCTGCCTCAGTCACAAAAAAATTTGGCTCGGTGGTAGGCACAAGGGGAAATAAAAGAAGCTCCTGCTGCTTCCCATCAGCCTTCCTGAGTTGAGGTGGCAAGAAGAGAATTATTTCAGTAGTGCCACCATAGCGTGAAGGAAATTCAGGGAAAATACTAGCAAACTCCTAAAAGTTTTAGGAGTAAACGTAATACCTTGTGTCCTTCCATCTCGTGTTCATTGTGCATCCTGTCTATGTAAAAGCTGCTCTTGTTTGTTATTTTTAGAGAGGGGACAAAGTTCCTGCCTACAGAATTCATATAGGCTCTGTCATCGCCACCCCTAAGTACTCCCCCAGCATTTGTCCTCAGAGCACTTCTCTTAGGTGGGGAAGTGTCATCACCTCGGTTGTACGGGTGGGGAACTGAGCCTATAAAGTCTAAATGACCTGTCCAGCAATCTGGCAGAACGAAGATGTGAATCACTCTGAGTAGGCACTTAGCTGCGAGGGAAGAAATACGGGCAGGAGAGTTTTTCAGCAGCTCAATTTGTCGTCGCCTGCCCCGAGGACCGTCCAGCGCACACCCGCCAGAGCGGAAGTTCTGATCTCAGTTCCTTCCTCAAACACGCTCATTTTCTTCCTTCTTGTTGCTTCTCGCTAAGGAGATTAGAATTTCAATTTCCAGCTATCTCAAGACTGGTTTTGGAAGTGAATTTAAACCTGCATACCAGCTTTCTATCCTCGCTTGTGGGGATTGCCTTCAGCACCGTTTCTGGCTTTTCCTCTTTTCCAGAGATTTCTTTCTGCCATAAGCTCTTCAAAATGAAGTTTTTCTCTTCTTCCTTTATCTCGTCCTTCTCCTCCTTGGTAGCAAGAGGACTCAGGCTAATATTGAAAACCTTACCATGCTCAAATTTTTGGACTGGGCAAACTGAACCTTATTGCAAAGTGATACAGCTTCAAGGCTTTCTCACATGGAGCGAATGCTTTCGGTGCAGGCTCCCACGTAGAAGCCATGAGGGAAGTTTGCTGCCTGGCTGTTATGAAATTCAATAGTCTTAATGCCCAGGAAATACTGAAAGAAATATTAAAAGATTACACTTCCAGAAACACTTCCACAATCACTATTTGTTACAAGAAAAACCTGGATAAACTGAGGTGTACTAATGAATATACACATTTATGCAAAAGTGAAAACTCTTATAGAAATAGAGATTTCAGCGTGGCCTACAGCCTCTCGTAATTTCCAGAGAGTCAAGGAGAACCTGAATTACAATATCTTGTTTCATGTAGGTCTGCAAATGAAAAGAAGTCAGTATAAGCTGGATGCACCATACTTAATTTAGCCATCATTTCGCCCCAGTGCTGTGCTACTAGTTTCCACAGTGGCCTTTATTAATGGGAAAAATAAAAGCCTTCTATTTTAAAATAATTAAATGTTAACATTTTCCTAATAAACATAAATAGACAAGAACACAGTACAAAATTGGCACAGATCCCACAGATGGTAGAAGAAAATGTTTTCACTTGTTAATAATGCCAACAAGTAGCTGATTTGTGACTCCCTTGCCTTTCCTGAGTTGCAGTTAATTATGAACCCTTCCACTAAATTCAATTTTAGCATTCTTTCTATTTGTTTTACTATCAGGAAAAAAAAATACACGAAATGTGTGAAGTGTTAGCAAAGATAACGTAGGAATCCTGTTGATGCCTTGTGGAGAAGGTGAGGTCAAGCAGCTGTTGCTAGATTCAACCTACACTGGCTCCTTGTTTCATCACGTCCATCTGATAACTGGGTACCTATCGCACACAAATTGATTTAAACTGCTGTTCTTCTCCTTTTGACAAACAAAATCCATCACAATGAGATACACAGTTTCTGCCTATGAACGATAAGCTAGCTGAATTAGAAACAGCTCCATTTAAAGAGGCCCCTTATATGACTGTATCACCCGTTTTCAAACTGTATATACCATACTTGATTGAAAGGTAAAAGTGGATGATCCAGTTTTAGAAAGCACATGATGATAAAGAAATATAGCTATAAATAATAACAGGAGAAATTGTTTTCTCCTGTGCTGGCAGTCAGCCTGCTGCTTATTTTGGCTGACATTAAGGTGTCAGAGATTTAACCACCGTCTACTGAAAAATACATAAATCATTAAAATTATCACATTTATAAAAAGATAATATTTAAAAAGCATAAACTATCTAATACTATACATATGTATTATAGATAGATAGATAGATGGAGACTATTTCATTCACATTTTTGTTCACTGAATCAAAAAGCATATATTCCATTCCTGCAAAAAATTATAAGATGTTTTGTACATAATGTTCTTTTCAAAGAAGCATTAGGTGTCCAAGTGTATTTGGCCTATGGTCAGACTGGACAGGAAAAATTATTCATTTACTTCCCAGATTTTGGATTCCAATATGCATTAGGATTGTCTTTAATTTCAGCTGCGGCCAGTTTATGTTTTGGCTTGGTTGGTCCTCTGTTGTCACCCTATGTTATGCAACATTATTATGTAGTTTTTTTACATCTCTGTTCCGTCTTCAGTAAATCCAACGTGTTTATAATGAGGTATTTATAACCTTATTGATAGTCTGTCAGTGTTACTGAAAGCAATTATATGCTGTCCTCCTTATATGTATCTGGTTTGAGGTAAATGCTGCAGTTTAAACCTCCTCTAAATTGCATACTGCTTATTAGTATGTGCATAAATTGTTGGCAGATTGGTCAAGACACTCCAGAAGGTCCCTTTGAGCCTTGCCTGTGTCTTTGCTAATCAGTGTAATTGCAAGTTAGTGAGCCTGCAGTGATGTGTAAAACAGGTTTAAGGGAGTATTCTATTTAAATGGACCTTTTGGCTTACTCAGTGGAAGACTTATTATGATTT